CTCCCGGGCGCCCTCGCCGTCATCCTGGGATGGGATGGAAGACGAGGTGCGCCCCCTCCAGAACCCGGCCCTCTGTTTGTGAAATGTGCAGTGGTGACAAGCCAGGCTCGTATTGGCCCTTGGGGATAAAGGGTGTTCCCAGAATAGCAGGAGGTGGGCCGTATCTTATTTTAGTGCGATGTAGGATATTTCCTGCCGCACCAAAACTGCTCAATGTGAGGTTGTCGAGAATTCTGTTCAGAATAGTGGAAAAGTAGGAAAAGCAGTCAATTTTTACATACGCGACGATACAGAAACACTGTTATGCTCACTTACGGAGCTATAGTTGAAATACCCTACAATTTACTGTTGAACATAGGTGAAGTGAATGTGCAGAAACCACGAATTGAACAGAAAAGAGAATGGCAAGCAATGAGCTTGTTAGCTTGGTGGGCGGAACACAGTAAGGAAAAAAGCTAGAAGAGATGCCTTATTAAGATGGAGAGGATGGAAATACAGGTTTGAGGGGAAGAGTAATCTGTTTTCCCAAGTAAGCTTGTATGTTTTTGTTCTTCAGAAGGTTTAAGTGTTGGTTTTCCTCTTGTCTGAGTTTTATGCTTAATCTGGCATCTTAAAATGTGTCAGTTTCAGAAAGGTTTTAACATTGGTGGGTTGCACAAAATTTGGTAGTTTTGTCTCCGAGCTGACACTCCCAATTTGAAGAGATTATCCTTTAATTTAGGTAGGATATGTGACTCCCAAAGAAATTTTTAAAGTAAAAAATTATAAGGGCATGCTTTATTAAGAAATTCTGCATCGAAAAATTGTTGATATTTAAAAGTTAAAATCTGGTCAGCTATTACCACTTGAGTAGTGTTTGGGGTAAGCTATTCCTAAAGTTGATTCTTCGTTTCTGGAAGAACTTACTGTAAACAAGGTTAAATAATTACAGGATGCTAGTGAGCTGAGGAATTTTTCAGTTTGTTAATTCCTGCTTCTCATGGGCACACTTGTCTGATTTGGTCATTTTTAATACCTGCCTTAAAAAACATAGGTGGAAACAGAACTTCATTTTTTCAGAATACCCTTCAAATTCTCCAGAGCAAGGTTGTCTGTGATCATGGAGAGAGAAAGAGAGATATTGATAGAGATTGATTCAGATTCATCCCTAGGGATTTAAACAGCACATGGTGAGTTCTTGGTAAAGACAGGTAGGACCTCTTGGGGCTGAACTTCACCTGATCACAGTAACAGTAAATGCAGGTAGCCATAATTCCAGGTTTATTGCATATTCATTCTTGGGAGAGGATCTTTCCATGGATTCTTATGTTGGTAGGTACATTGGTCTCCTACCTTTGTGGTTTTCCAGCCCTTTCAGTAAAAAAAAAACAACAAAAAAATTAAGCATGATCTTCTAATGTATATTTATAAATGATGTGTGTATAGTATTTTTTGTATGTTGTAAATCAAACCAAAAGCACGTGTAAAAAATAACATTACAAAAAGACAAATGAAAAATCATTTCCTTTTCATACTTACATATTCCCTGAATGTGTGTACCCTTCTTCATGGACCCCTGTTTTGGGTCATGCAGCAAGCAGTGGCAACTAAATAGAAATACTACTCATCTGGCTTTATTTGACTTGTAGTACAGAGTTGTCAGATCCTGGCAACACATGCCTAAGAACTTGAGGTTATTAATTGGAAAACAGCTGGACTAAGTAGAAAATGAAAGTTCTCAAATGAAGCAAAGACCAGAAAAGAAAGATGTTCACTGTCTAGACTGGGGACTTAGAGTTGCAAATGGAACTGTATTTTTATTTTCCTATACACTTTTGAGGAAGACCAAGAACTTTAGGTAGTAGGACCCTGATATCTTAGTAACACTTTTGACTTAATCGTGGTTGTTTTAAGAGTTATAATGCTAGAGAGTCTCATTTTTACATGACATTTATAAAAATACATGTTTTCTGTTAGCCTCTTGAGCCCGTATTCAACAAATATTTCTTGAGCACCACCACTGTATGCTTAGCTTTGCACTAGATGCTGGGAATGGGAAGATGAGGACAGAATCCTGCCTCTAGTTTAGTCTATAGGGAGACATACTGTGGAGCTGGCTTTGAGAAACTGGGGGAACAAATTGGACAGAAGCACAAAGAAAAGAGAAAGCGTCGACAATTTAGGGGACTGATAGCGGCTCAGTATTGTTGAGATGTGCAGAGTAAGGGAACAGGGGCTCGTATTTGATCCTGTCCGTGGGAGCCGCAGAAGAATTTTCAGCAAGAGGATGTGACACCCAGGTTTGAGTGTTAGATTGCTCTGGAGACAGTGGTTGGAGGGAACACTGCTAAACCAGAGAAGACTAGTACCCCTGAGAGATGATGTCAGCCGAGGTAATTTTGTGGCATGGGGATGGAGAGGGATGGTGGATGTGAGGTTTATTTGGGGGGTAGGTGGGGTGAGTGGGTAGGTGGGTAGAACTGTCATATACCAGTCAGTGATTGAACAGATTTGGAGCAAGGGAGAAACATTTATGAACATTTTGGAGTGTAGACCTTCACTGAGGAAATTCGAGTGAAAAATTTGTTTTGGGGGGACCAGGGAAGAATATCTGATTGTACTTATGTGAAAAAGAAAAAAAAATGACAAAGTTAGAAAAATTCTTGAAAGCTTTATCTTCCGAAATGGAACTTGAGAAAAATTTGATCTTGTTTTACTCATTTTAACACTCTTGAGTTTTCAGTGTGTTACTGATTTGAATGTGTATTACTTGAATTAAGAAATCTGAATTTTAAAAAATGTTAGTCTAATTTTCATAAGATCTGTTCCCAAGCAGCAGTGGTCCTCAAACTTCACTGTCATCAGAATCACTTGGAGGTCCTGTTAAAACAAGATTGCTCAGACCTATTCCTAGAGCTCTTGATTTCTAGATCTGGGGCAGCCTGAGAATTTGCACTTCAAACAGGTTCCCAAAGGACGGTGTCGCTGGTCCAGGGAGCACACTTTGAATACTATTGCCTTTCAGTTTTTCTACTGCTTCCTGCTTCAATGATTCACACGTAAGGAAACAAGGCGCCACCCTGCTTCCTGTAGACTGAACTTTGGAATGATATTTGTCCATATAGGAGCCAGACTTTCATTTAGAGTTGAATATCCAGATTTGAAGTAAACTTTTTTTTTTTTTTTGCCAGTTGTAGATGCTCAAATGTTTGTAGAAGGGGGAAAGCACACATAACAGTGTAAGTGCCTTCTTTTTGTTAGCACTAACATTGGTCTTTGCAGCCCCCCTAACTTCATTCTGCTCTTGGCATTCCATTCACTGTTTTCTTGATGTCTTTTTCTTCTCATACAGGTCATGTCTTGCAAGGCTATGTTTGGGTTCATTTTTCTTTGCATAATCCAAGGAATCATAAATCATGCCAAAGCCAATTGCCTTGCCACCAAAGACAAAGATGACATCTGGTGTAGTCTTGTACATTTTGGCTAATTTTTTCTGAACTTCTGTCTTAGGTATTGTTGCCTTAGGATGTTGAAGACCATTTGTTTCCATTGAAGTAGTCTGTTGGTAATGAACTTCCTGACTGGATAGTTACTGTATCGTTGATGATGGCTGCCGACACTCAAACAGCCAGAGAGGAAAAGTGGGATTAAGTCTTACAGACCACTTAGCTCTTTGACTCCTTTTACTTGGTTCATTTTCCTTAATGGTATCTTTTCATTTTAAGAGCTACTTTCTTGGCTTGTCTTTGGTTGAAGAATTAAAAAAAATTTTTTTTTGGAGTTCTTTTTATTATCTCCTAGTTTCCCTTTTGTGCGGTGTTACCAATTTGATGGTTACTCTTTGTTTTTCAAGCCAAAAGTTTCATTTTCAAAACTTCACCTACTATGTTCAGCCTAGTACCTTGCTTGGCAAGATGAGTCAGACTGAGGCAAAAGCGTCCTTATCTTTGGGTACAAAAACAAGCATGAACATCACTGAATTTGGAGCCTTTAATAAGAGTTTTAAGTGACTGAAGTATATATACTGGGTATATTGTCAGAGTGGGAAGGCATTTTACCATTCTCCATCCCCCGTTTGCAGAGATGGGAATCAAGGCCCACAGAAAGAAAGGGATATGTCCAAAGCGAAATGGGGGGAGCCAGAGCCAAGAGAGGAATTGACCTGGTTCCTGGTCTGTACTTCTTTGGATTATTGTTATTGCTGAGTTGACTGTAGACATTAGCTTTAAAGACTAAAAATAAAATTGATATGGAAAATAAAAAAGAAGATAAACAAGATAAACACAATTATGATTGTTGAGATGATCCCAGAAAAGGTATTAAACAAGTTCTTAAAAATTGAGTAAAACACTTAAGTGTACTTCACAACAAATAGATGACCACTAACACCATTAGTGTTAAAGGCGGCTCAAATTAATACTGAACTGCCACTTTTTAACTGGAAGGAAAAATAGGCAACATAATAAATTATCAAGGGAAATTGTGAAGTGTCCATTACCAAAGCTAGACTTGGAGTAGATATCCATCATGGCTTGGAAGGAAGCTTTCAAAGTCTTGCCTTTGAAAACTTAGGGCTGTCTGTGTGGCTTTAAAAACAATGGAAAGTAATGTTACGGACTTTTTAAAAGCAAAGATTAAAAAAAAAAACCGGACAAATAGTGTTTATACAGAAATGCCTGGCTAAAGGTTTGGGTGAAGCTACTGGTGTTTACTAACAGCCTTTCTTAAGAACTGTGACATGTATTCATTTGAGGCATTTCATAATTGTGGCTCCGGGTTCTTTCCATGATGTAGTTTTAGCAGTTTTGTGAAAAGAGAACAGAATGGTTTCATGGTTCATAACATTGCTTTCTAAATTTTTAAGAGTGCTATGACTTCATGGTGGACATGTTTCACTGAACTTAGTTTGTCTTGAAGTGGCGTTATGATACGATAGGTATGCTTTTGACACAGCTTGAGGCAGTTGTAGCAACCTAGTTGAATTTATAGTAATCCAAGTATGACTAGTTTCTGAAACTGGCTTCGTGTATACAGGCAGCACTACGGTTATTCTTCAGAACTGGCATGTCCTCAGCTCCTTCGGCAGCTGTGAAGTGAGTGCAGGCACTGCAGCCGCAGGGTCTCTGTCTAGCCTGAGTCCCAGTACTTGCACTCCCTTGGATGCGTCATTAGGGCTTTTGTTTCTTTCCTTGTGGTTTTAGGTCGACTGATTAGATGTGTTTTTTAATTATGTCAGAAAGGAAAAAAACAGTATTAGAATGGTAGGATGGGAAAGCAAATTGGGTTATCTCAGTGCTTCTAAATTTATTATCCAAGAAACTAACGTAGGACATCTTTGTAAACTATCATTTGTGGTCATTAAAAAAATAAAAAGTGAAAACACCTCTTCAGAACATCCCATATGCTCCGGGAGGAAAGTCAAGTCTTCAGTGACTCATTCTGCATTTTGGAGAGGAACGTGTTGCGATCATAGTACAGTATTCCTGATGAATATTGGAAACTGGGCACTCTGCTGCAGTGTTCTACTTTGACTTGAACCGACAATTGAAACCTTTCCCCCTTTTCATTGCAGGTGTCTCTTCAATCATAATGAACTCAGCTTTTCCGTGTTTAACCTAGACATCTCAAATTTCTCTCTGGCAGATTGCCAAGTGCTGCTGTTCATATGTGCTGCCTAATTAGTGGTATTCTTTTGTTTTTGGTTCCATTTTTGAAAACAGTCACAGATGGGCAGTGCCCTCAGGGATTCAGGTGGGCTGAATTTGGCCTTATGGTGCTTCTGTACTAATTTACCTTTCTCAATGAAATGATTTAGACTTCTGAAACATTGGAATGATTGGCAGTTGCTGTAGACTTCTCAGCATAATCAATTAATGTTGGCCTGCTGTTACTACATGCAATTTAATCTCATTTGATCTTGTCATTTTAAATATTTTAATGCAATTTATTCTTTAACTAGGTACATGTGAAGATTTCTTGGCAGTGTGGAGTGGAAACCATTGATCACCTTGCCCTCATTTCTGCCCGTCTTGTGTTGGCAAGGGAGAGTGCCCAAATGAGCAAGATATCGCAGCAGAACAGTGGTACTCCAGGAGTGAACGGAATAAGTGTTATTCATACTCCGGCTCATGCCAGCGGCTTACAGCAGGTTCCTCAGCTGGTGCCCGCTGGCCCTGGGGGAGGAGGCAAGGCTGTGCCTCCAAGCAAGCAAAGCAAAAAGAGTTCACCCATGGATCGAAACAGTGATGAGTATCGTCAACGCAGAGAGAGGAACAACATGGCTGTGAAAAAGAGCCGGTTGAAAAGCAAGCAGAAAGCACAGGATACTCTGCAGAGAGTGAATCAGCTCAAAGAAGAGAATGAACGATTGGAAGCAAAAATTAAATTGCTGACTAAGGAATTAAGTGTACTGAAAGATTTGTTTCTTGAGCATGCGCACAACCTTGCAGACAACGTGCAACCCAGTAGCACTGAAAAGACGACAAATTCTGATAGTGCTGGACAGTAGACCTCACCCTTTCCAGACTTCACAGCGTGTGGCTTGAAGGCTAAAGGTGTGACTTCTTACACCCTTTATATCAGTCAGTGGCTTAACATTGTCTTGTTCCATTATTCACAGATCCATTGAAGGTTGTTTTCTAGGATCAGCACTGAAGAGTTGATTAGCTAAAAATGTTAGCCATGTAATTTGAATATCTGGTTTTAAATGATATGGATTTTTGTGGGGTAGCCATGTAATTTGAATATCTGGTTTTAAATGATATGGATTTTTGTGGGGCTAAACAAATTTTTAAGGTATATGGAAAAAAAAAGGAGAAGCCCTGGATCTTGATGTTCTTAAATCCTGACTTCCTAAGAAATGCTGCTTTTTTAGGTTGACAAAAGGAATGGGGAACTGGTAGGTCCTGTAGGAGGTTCTTGGTTTTAATAATATGGTTCATTGGATTAAGAAAAGTTGAATGCTATCTGTGTTAATCTGTAATTTTATTCTAAATTATGTATTAAAAATCCTTAGGGATATAGAAAATAATCACTTTGTAATTTGGAGTGATTACATGTATAACATAAACCTTGGTTTAACATAATTAGTACTGTTTTCCCCAGCAAGTGGAGGTTTTTGAATAGTGATGTCAAGTTAAGTAAAGAAACCCCATTGCATTTTAAAGGTAGTGTGCAGCCAATTGGTTTAAAAATATAATTAACATTTAGGAAGCAAATAGGTTTTTTAAAAAATAAAAGTAAAGCATATTAGAATAGTGCTGGATACCTTTCTTTGTATTGTTAGATTGGCATTTTTTTGTATCTTTAAAAAAACCCCAACTCAATAGTTTAGAGAAACTGTGTACCAATTTTAGTTTCTGCAGATGCTAGTATTTTTTTAAAAATACCATTTTGACAGCCGAGTTAGTAAACAAAATATCTTAACAGTTTGATCACATAAGCTACTGATTAGATTTTGGAATATTAATTCAGCAGGTAGTTTCTCCTTTGTTCAAATATCTTCAATGGGGCCATGATTTTTAAAGGGAAACTTTCTTGTGAAGGATCATTTGGTGTTTGATCTGAACTATTAGAACAATGCATCATCAACCCCATGCCATCTCTCAAAATAATAATCTTAAGAAAACTTGAAAGTGTAAGGTTTAACCTTTAATTTATTTCACTTAAATACATCTTTTTATATTTTTGTGACATTTCTTTTTCTAGTTAGTGGACTGTTCTCCCAGACTTTTTGTCCACTGCTTCTATTTAGTTATTTGTTTGCTTTAATGTCTCATAAATTATTTTAGAAAAAAAATACTGCTAGAACTCAGGATATTGACATGTTTTGTTGAGACTAAGAAATGGCAGTCACTAAAGTTGGGAATCTCTAGTCTGGTTTGTATCAATGTTCGTAGTTTTGATTGTCCTTGTAGCACATTTGTAGCTCAAATTTGTTGGCTTTGTGAAGTTTTTTTTTTTTGGTTTGGTTTTTTTTTTTGTTTTTTTTTTGTTGCCTGGGTTGGTGACTAGAGACTGAGTCACATCTGATTAAAAAGTTTGTGTTTAACAAGTTCGTGTTCATTTTTAGCTACATTGCTGTTTCATATGAGGACCTGGGACAGTGTAACCAACATATAGCTCAAGTTGCACCCTTGGGTTGGTGAACAGTGCTGTCTGTGTTCTTCTCCTGGGCAGAAGACATCTCAGTGCCCTGAAACTCAGCAAAGCCATTCTTTTTAGGCTATGAGTCTGCCATGAGCCCCTTCTGCCAGTAACAGGAGCCCAATGTTCCATGAGAGCCACTGTCCCAGAAGGGTTAAGTCCCTATAGAGCCAGGAGACAGGCTAGAGGTTTCTGTTAGGGTCCAACACCAGTTTACTTCAACTGGAGTATCGATCTACTAGTAATAGATGTTTTGAATAACTAGAAGATACCCGCAGATCCTACTGAATCTTTAATAGCTGATTGATGTTATATAATTAATTGGATCACTTGAATCTTTATTATATCAGGTTTTAGACATTTAAATCTTTTTTACTGAAAAATCTTTCAGAAATTGATGTCTCCATGGAGTTTATAGGTGCCAGTTATATGAATTGACCAATCTTAGAAAAGAAGCTTTAGGGAAATCATCAGGAGTGTGTACTCAATATTTCAAACCAGTACATAAAATTGGAACTTTTGGAAAAATGCATTCAAGTTTTCTTGTTACCTATGCAAATCAAAACTTTAGCGTGAGCAGCCCTTTATGCATAGAATAAAAATGTTAACCATCATCTTGACTATCTTACTAAAGTGGAAATGAAGTTTTTAGTTTGATAAATGTATTAGTATAAAACAGAAATCAAGTATGGGGAATAGGTAAGTTTAGAGCTTTGGGAAGTATTCAATGACTTTTGTAACTTCTGTTTTGTAGGTTACGTATGAACCATTAGGATTTGATCTGCCTTTGCAGGCAGGTCCAGTGGTTTAGGAATTAGGCTTTAGTATATAAATTTCTAGTTGGATATGAGTCTCCCGGGATGGGTGCTTTCTGACTGGTCATGGCTTCAGGTGGTGAGATCCAGAGCAGCTCTTCCTGGTGTCTGGCCCCTTTCAGTTATTGGGATGCGCGTTCAGATATTTTGGACATTCTTACTAAGAAGTAGTAAGATTTTAATAAAACACGACCAGAACATGGTCACACGATCAGTCACGAGTGTGAAATTCTCAAATTTACACAAAAGTGGTATGTACAATTTAATATTTGATAATAAAGGAAATCGTCGTAGCTTTGATGTTTCTTAATCCCCAATAGAGGGCTTGAAACTTCGTACCTGAACAATCGACTTAGCACTCAGAGTGCTTTTTGATGCCTTAGAAATAAGAAAAAAATTTTCGTTTGACAAAAGCTAGGAAGGAGAAAGTCCATTCTACAGCTGTTAGACCTGCCTCTCAGGAAAAAATACTTAACTTGTTCTTTTTGTCCCTGGCTTTCCTCAGTTTGTGAGATTACTCTATTTTTTTAATATAATTTTATTTCTTTCAATGAATTTGAAATAAAAAAACTTTGGAATAATGACTATTTCATTGTGGGTTTCTTTATATAGGTTTATGTTAAATATCATGATGTTAGATACAATGATAGTCCACATGTTAAACAGCTTTGCAGAGCAGGCAGACACCTTGCTGTCTCCTCCTCAGCCCAGGAAAGGGGTGAAGTGGGGGTGGGGGACAAGCAGGGGTGCTTTTGTCCAAGTCTAGATTTCCCTTAATGGATAGGAATGTAGTTTTCTCTGAATATGGAGTACCTCTTTAGTTATATTCTTTGTCACCTGGTCTAATTTAAAAATGTAAATTAGAATAGAGGAAGCACTAACTGACTGTTCCCACTCACATACCTAATGCCTCATTGTGTGGGTTGCATTTACAGAGGTAGGAAATTAGTTAAGACAGGAATGTCAAATAAGGTGTTTCCCTTAAAATTTGTGGCATGTATATAGTCTTCATTTACATGATGCCATAGAGTGTCTATAGAAATGAATTCATAAATATCGAGTCCAAAAAGCTGATTCGAGGGAAGATGCCATTTAGATACTTTTTTCCTATGATCCTTCAGTTTATTTTCATGTTTTGGGAAATGTCTACTTATTGCATCTTAATAAAAATTGTAGTACAGTAATTATTTCTATGGGTGGTATGTCCCATTTCATTTTTATGAATTAGTTGTAATTGAGAATCTAGTAACTTGCCTTGGGGAATTTTAGAGACACGATTTGTGAAGGCGCCAGCTCTTTTTAAATAAAAGTACTTTTAGACCTCTTTTACTGCCTCAGTATCTAAAGAGTTCACATGCATTTCATGTAAACTCAAAGGAGAACACTAACCCTGAATATTCGTTTACTGCAACATGTCCTCTTGCAGAGCTTTAGGCCTGAAAGTCATGCAGAGCTGTTTAGAGCAGGGGTCCCCAACCCTTGGGCCGCTGACCGGTACCAGGGTACCAGTCCGTGGCCTGTTAGGAACCAGGCCACACAGCAGGAGGTGAGCAGCAGGTGAGTGAGCGAAACATCTGTATTTGCAGCCACTCCCCAGTGCCAGTATCACCTCCTCAGCTCCATATCAGATCATCAGGCATTGGATTCTCATAGGAGCACTGGTCCCTGGTGCCAAAAATGTTGGGGACTGCTGCTCGGGAATTTGGGGCTGTAGAACTGGGTTTGAGAATGGGGTTATTAGGCAGTCACATGTTAAACAGTTTTTTGCAGCCCGAACACCTGAGTCTTGCCAATCCCTTAGAAGCAGCTGTTAGAGCCAGATGCCTTTCCTCATCACCACCTTTCAGCTCTGCCTCCTAAATGTCTCTTTTGCAGCTGTCAGCTTCCTCTCTCCCACTCCACCTGCAGGGCCATCGTCCTCTCTCCCTGGACTTGGTCTTCTTGGACCATTGCAGGCTCTCCAGAAGCTTTAGCCATTCCCCAATGCACACAGGGCAAGCCCTAGCCTCCTGGTGGTGTGCCTCCACTTGATCTTGCCCACTTAATTTCCTTCCACTCTCATATAACTTTGCTTTGGCTGCGGGACTTTCCCAAGCTCTTTTTACTTCAGGGCCACCTTAGGATAGCTCCTTACGCCTGGAATGCCTCTCCTGCATTTCACTTAAAACGCTTCCTGTTATCCCCGTAGCTGTCTAGACAAAGTAAATTGTTACATTCTTTCATGGCACTTTGCAGTGTTTCTGACAAAATATTTGTGCATGTTTGTTTAAGGTGAAGCCTCTTGAGGAGACTGCAGGCTCTGAGAGCAGGGAGCATGTTTTCATCATATATTGGCACATGGAAAGGCTTTTAGTGCTATAAAGCTTTCCGGAAGGGTCTCTAATATTTTCTGAAGTTAATGCAAATTTCTTTAGTGGTTGGAGGAGATGTAGAAGTTGGCTACCTCCTCTGGAACGTGGTAGAGAGCAGGTGGCTACAACTGGCCACCTGAGACCTGCACCTTGAAGGAATGCCCCTTGACTTACCAGTCTGGGCTAAACCAGAGTCACATCCATGTTCCCAGGGTCCCTTCTGGACAAAGCATTTAGTTACTGAGATTTCTCCTTGTTCTTTGTCTACTTGCTTGATAATCAGAGAAAACATTTATGTGAAGTGGGCAGTTTTGGCATGAAATGTCTGAAGGAGAAAGATGTATGATACACTCAGCTATGTTTTTAAATTAACTGGTTCATTTAGATTTCCAACCTAACTTTAACTGGCTTTATCTTGGGGGATGGGGAAAATTGAAACCCTGGACACCAGAACTTGTCTTACAGGCACAGCTCAGGCAGAGAGATGTCGGGTGAACTCAAACTCCTGACACTCAGGAAGGCAATCATTACTTACACTGCTCAGTGCCACACATAACTTAAGCAATATATCTGCACTAGCAGAAAACCTTAAAAATTGGATGTTATAAATCTAAGAAATAAGATAAATGGTGACTTGGAACTGAGATTGTTTTAATGTGGCCACATCACAAGCACTTTTTTATAATTGCCATAGGAAGAAATCCATTTGTACTAAATTCTTCGTGACTTCTCAGAATGTCTCTAGCTTGGGCTACAGAGTTTTTTCACCAAACCAAAGGTTCATCTCTGATTTCTTTTCTCACTGGCCCTTCACTTCGGCTCGGAAACTCCTGGACGAGAGCTCTGTGAAGAGACAAACCTGGAATGGTGCACAGAAGCCTAGAAGCTGGCTGCAGGGGGTGGGGCAGTTCTGTGGGATCCTGGGAGAACTGGGCGAGCAGAAGTAAGGACAGGTAGTCTGCCACTGGCAGGGATCAGACCCAGCTGGCCCTCGATGGCTCACGGCCTCAGAGGAATTTCGTCGGCGGGCTTACACTCGGAAGACAGATGGTCTCGGCAAACATGGAAGGAAGAAAAAAGCTCACCTTTGCCATGGTGCTGCCATCTCTCGGATGCTGGCTTTGCTAGCATGTCCCACATGAAAAGGAAATAAAGGACAAGGAGTCTCTGTGTCACATCTCAAATAACAGTGCCTGAAGGGCTACATAATTCTGCCCCTTTCAGAAATCTAGCTTTGAGGCGGTAACTGTATCAAAAAGGCTCCTCATTCTCCTGGTTCACCTTTCAGCATGTGCAAAGCCACGGTGTGGGATAGCTCCCTGTGTGCCTGACTGAGCCCCGGGATCTCTGCAGGGTCAGTGACTAGGTCTAAGAGTGTCAAGGGATGAAGGACAGAAAGGGAGCCATGCATAAAGGACAATTTAAAAAAAGCTTTTATTGCAAATTCTATTTGTGTATTGATTTTTGAGAGAGAACACTGGAGATTTTTCTTTCCTGAGCAGAAAAATACAAATGACAGCAAGATACATTTTAGTGGCTACTAAAGAACAGCGTGTTTCATATTAGCATTTTAAAAGCCACTGTCATTTAAGTAAAGTAATAACAGATTAGGGTATGATCTTGCAGAATGTTAATAAAAAAGCTTCCCCTCCTAGGTCACAGCGCTGTTTGGTGTGATCAGGCGTCGAGGCTGGCATGTGATTTCTGAGCACCATCTTGCCTCTGGGTGGCCAAGAAGCAAGCTGCCTGTTGCAAACACAGGTAGCAAGGCCGGATCCCCAGTCCCACTGGGCACTCCTGGCTGGCTCTATTTCGGGCTAGAGAAGGGAGTGAAAGCCTTGTCACAGCCTGCCATGCATGATTCGATTTCCTCCACTGTGCGGGGCACACAGGTCAGCAGCTCCATGCCACTGTTAGTCACCACGACGTCCTCCTCAATACGGACCTGGGTCAGACCAACAGACAGTCAGTACTTCTGAGCTGCCCTCATGCCTGCGATTAGAGGGCCAGGCCCCACACCTCTCGGCGGAACCCCGCTGAGTGGGAGGGGCCTTTTCTGAGGAGTGGTCAGTCCTGTCCTGATGGAAGGAGCTGCCTGGCCTCAAGGCCTCTGGGCGACTGCTGAGAGGAATGCTCGTCCCATGGGGCTACCTGCTCATGCCACCTGCTCTCCCTGTCCTGGCCCATTGCACCTTGCCAGGTGGATGAGAGCCTCTGGAGTGGGCAGGGTTTTGTGGAATCTATGTCTCTTCTGTTGAGGGGTAAGGCACCTGTCTGGTGACAGACCATGAGAAAGGGCAGGATAGGTCCTTCTCAAGTGAGGAAGTCAAGATCGTCCCTCGTCACCCTACGGTTCCTGTCCTGGGACAAGGAGGTGACACGCAGCAGTGGGGAATGGGGCAATCTGGGAGCAAGGTCATGGGGCCCATCGGAACTCACCCCACCAAATCCACGAAAGCGCTGCAGGACCTCGCGGTTAAAGAAGCAGGCGCGTGCCGGGTCAGCCAGGGCCTCGTCCAGGAGGTGGTCGATGAAGTAAATGCCCGGCTCCACAGTGAGCACCATGCCTGGCTCCAGGTGCCGTGCAGTGCGCAGGCTCCGCAGGCCAGGCTCATCAATGCGCTCCACGCCCTGTGGGGAAAGGAAGGGTGAGCACCCAACTGATGGTTCCCAGGCGGGAGGGGGATCGAGGAGGGCGTTAGCTCCAGCCCAGGGCCCCTGCCTCAGCAGGAGACAGATGGGCACAAAGCGACACCCAAGCAAAGTGTCGATATGTCAGGGCTCCCTCCAGCCACATGGGGTCTCACTGCAGCTGCAGGGGAGGCTTTGTGAGCTGGGGGGTCTCCAGCTCAGACTCACCCCTGCTGTGCTGTGCCACGGGCACTCCAGAGAAGGCCCTGTACTCTCTGCACACTCCCTGATTTTAGTGTCCTTGCCCCTCGTTACCCTCAGAACTGCCTGCAGGAGCCCTGTGGACACCATGTGCTCACACACGGGGCAAGCTGCCACGGGACGGGCGGCGTGTCAGGCAGCCCTCACCTGGGCCCTCTCCCCGCCAGGGGAGCAGAAGCCAAAGCTGTGAAGCCAAAAAAGCTCTTTAGGAGGCTGCGAGGCTGCCTGTGCTGCATCTCCTCCCAGCAGCTCAAGTGGAAACCAGCTCCAGAAGTGCTGGGCCTGGCTCTCTCAGGCCAGGTTTTCCATGTGGCCTTCCAGGAGGAGGGACAGGTGCTGTCATCAGGAGGGGCCTGCCAGCACCAGCTCTGGTGTGATTATGCACAAATGCACACACGCCCCATGTGCATGGCCCCTGCCCAGCTCTGGGCACAGCTGAGCCCCGGGCAATGGCTCCCAGCCCTTGAGGAGTGAGCGGCAGTGGCAACTGCTCCCCACAGAGGCAACCCCTCCCTCCAAGTGCACACCGAGCCTAGACCTGTCCACTCATATGGGCATAGCTGACAGGGCTGCCTGGGCTGTGAGGGCAGGTGGTGCCTAGGACACTTGCGGAAACTTCCCTGCCTTCCCCAGGTCCCTGGGGCATCCATCCAGCCCTCAGCCAAGGCCTGGGAGTGAGTGGGCAGCAAGCAAGCATTCTGGTCAGGCTCTGAACTTGCCCTGCCCCGCTTGCAGCAGTCCTCTGAAAGCCCAGCTGCTGGAAACGGAGCTGTCATTTCTGACTGTTTGGGGGCCAAGAACATCAGACTTCAATTAGTGGTTCATGTAAGGTAACCAGAAACAGGCTGGCTCAGCCTCCACCACTGGGCACCACAGGGAAGGCTGTGACCGTGATTCTACGAGGGTGGAGGCAGCAGGGCGCACACAGATCCTGATGTACACAGCCACTCTGACCTGGCGTGAGCCAGGCTGGGATGGAGGTGTTGAGGGGACACCAAGGCACTGTGACCTCTGTGGGTCATGCTCTGGATACAGATGTGGTCTGGTGTGGTACCTGGCCCCACAACACTTCTTGCCTGGAGGGGTAAGGCAGGAGAGCAGGGGATGAGGAAGGGCCCAGTCTGGAATGGCAGGCCCTGTGCTCAGGCGCCAGGTGCTCGTGAGGCAGGGCAGGGGCCCATCTCTTTCCCAGAAGTTGCTCGTCAGAGCTGGAAGTCCAGGGTCTCTGCTCCAGGCTTTCCTGCGCCTGCCATCTGAAGTCCATGCCTTCCCTGCCACCCCCTCCTGTCTCTTACTTCCATGCTAACCCCTAAGTGCCTGTCCCCTTTTCTCACTCCAAAGCTGTCAAAGCCAGGGGCCTCGCAGAGGCAAAGACCTGACAGTCACGTCCCCCATTCTCCCTCTGTCGCTATGGGTACGTATCAAGCTACTCCATGGGTGTGCATAAGGGAGGGGGCAGTTTGCTCAGGCTTGCACAGAGACAGGCTTCCCTCCAGAAAGTTCCAGGTGAGGAGAGGGGAGAATGGTAGGGGTCCCCAGAGCCATAGGAGGATATGCCCACCCCAGCACCCCTTCAGAGAATTAGCTCTCAGGCGTCGGCCCTGTGGGGGCGCCCACCCAGAATGGCCAGAGCACGACTGGGAGAAGGATGGGGCCTGGGCTGAGAGCAGATCCCACGAAGGCCATGCCCACAGCGCCTCTGGTTCAGGGACTCCTGCCTTATCGGGAGTAGGGGGTGCTGGGCCTATGCCAGGTCCATGCCGGCCTCCGCTGGGCAGAGGGCTCAAGAGAGCCTCAACTTTAACTGAGCTCTGAGCAGAGGAGACCCAGATGTGTCTGTAGGCCTGAAATAAAACAAATGACTTTTATAGGAAAAGCCATATTTTTTTCCACAATGTTTATCTGTCAGAAGAATAGGCTATGAGCACAAAGGGCTGCTTACTGGAAAAGATGAAAACAGTTTGCTGCCAATTTTCTCTGGTGGAAAAAAAGTGCTCTGGCGACTAATGAATAACGAACCTCAGTTAACAATGTCTGGAAGGCCCTGCTCTTGGCTCCCTGTACACAATGTGATGGATAGAAATTAGGAAATTAAAACTGATTTTGTTTCTCCAAATTTAACTGTTTACACTTGAGGAAAAAAATAATTGAATAATAATGCTTCTCTTGAGCAATCCCCCCCACCCCAATCGTTCTTAGTGCTTTCAAAATACCCTGCAGCCAACAGGCCGAGCCTAGTCTTGGCTAACTGGCTGCTGGGCCCCAGGGTGTGCAGCAATTGCACAATCACCCCCTGCACCGTGGGCACCAGGCCAGGCGGCAGGGCCGGCTTCGCCCCCACCCACTGGCGCCCGGAGAGGCTGCAGCCACCTGCCGGGCAGGGCCTCCCGAAGGCCCTGTGGGTGGTCCTTTCAAGGATCGGTTGGTAGGAGGTGGAGGGGAAGGCCTAGTCTAGTGGTGCCCACATGAGCCTCCCTCCTCTGCCAAGATGAGGGAGGCCCCGGGGGTATGTTGGCCTGGGTGAGCGGGGCAGGGGGTCTGCTGCTGGGCTTGTGAGGGCACTGGGCTCAGCTAGTTCCAGGAAGGACCAGGGCCAGCCACCAGCTGGTGGAGCCAGAGGCAGAAGGGCATGACGAGTACAGTGCCAGCCCCATCACAAAGACCCAGCTTCACGGTGCTCACTGCCCTGCGGGGGACCCCGTGCACTGCACGCTGACTGCCTGCCAGCCTTGAGGAAAGGTGCCACACCCAGCGCACGGCCCCAGGGCTCACTGCGGAGCGCACACCCATCTTGCACCAGGTCCTGTGAAGTAGCCACTGGAGGCGACCTGCTCACAGAAACACCTCTGCCTCGACCAGGGCCCTTGGGGGTGCAGGGCATTGTGACAGTGGTCTGGGACAGGACTAACCAATGGGTGAAAAGGGAGGAGGGGCAGTGGGCCTTGCCAGGACCCCATTCTTCCTCATCCTGCCTGTCCCACTACACCCCAGCCATCTCCCAGAGTCCCACCCCACCCTGGGAGGGCCAGGCTCAGTGACAGCTCGCAGGCAAGCCACTTGGGTTGTCCACACTGACCTCAGGGTAGCCTCCCACGTCATGCACATCAATGCCCAGGAAGTGGCCCAGCCCGTGAGGCATGAACACAGCTCCCAGGTGGGCCTGGACCATGGCGTCGATGCTGCCGCTCAGGACGCCGATACGGACCAGCTCCTCCAGGTGGATGCGGTCTGCCAGACGGTGCATGTCAGGCCACCAAACGCCTGTGGCTCAAAAGGAGGCTGCAGTGAGCTGAGGTAGGAGGGCCTGGGGTAAGGGTCAAGGGTGATGGGGCTGGGGACAGCCCTCCATGTAAGGCTGTCCCAACCGTAGCTCTGGAACTCGAGACCCTTCTGTCCGCTACATCCTTGGGGGTAGGATCTTGTCGCCCACGGCCAGGGCCCCAGCCCCTGCTCTGTCTATCTCCGGCCTGTGTGTGCTTTTGGGGCCATGGAAGCCCAGCCAGATACCTGCCTGGGCATCAGGAGGAGAGAGGGGAAAGTCCCCAACAGTGGATGTGGGGTGACCTCAGAGAGCCCCAGACAAGGTTCAGGCCCAAACACTGCCTAAGAGCCTCAGGCTGTGGGGCCAGGGGGAACAGTGGCTAGGGGTGGGGGACACCCCTGCACACCCCGGAATAGGGCTGGCAATCACTCTGAGAGCCACTGTAGGGGGCAAAGGTTTCTGGGGTAAAGGTACAGCTGGCACAGCCTCCCGCGCTGGCTGGCAGGGGTCTGTGGCCCCACCTGCTACAAGCTCTGGGTGACCATTTCTGTGGCAGTGCAGTCATTCGAGCCACAGGCTGCTAATCAAATTCATCTTTGCCCCATGTTTCTGGGGCAAAGGTCACTGTGGAGAGCATTCCCAGGCAGGAGTTTTGGGGCAAGCAGGCTCTGCAGGGCTCCGTGGCTCCCTGGGCAGCCCTTACAGGCTGCAGCCTATGGCCCCTGGAGAGCTGCCCTTGGGACACATCAGCCATCCCCAAGGCGCAGTGGCCTTGTCCATGGGCTCCGTGGAATCTCACCTTCAGCCTCGCTCAAGGGCACCGGACGCTCAGCCTAAGTACCAAATAGAGACCTAGGCCAGTGAAGCTCCCTTCCCCATCCCATGAGGGCTGAGTTTGGGGCAGTACCTGTCAAGGCCACTGGCCCCAGGAACCACAAGGCAGGCGGACAGGGTGGGGGCCTGCACTCCTATACTGCGCTCTGGCCAGAGAGGGTATTAAGCACCAGCCCCTGCATCCCCTCCACGTGGGCAGCAACCTCGCTCCCACGGGGCCTGCCACACCCTGCCGTCCAGTGCTCTATCACTGATGACTGTGGCCACGAGAGGAGAGCACTGGGATTCGCTGGGCCCTGCGCTGCCCATGGCCAGGCCACCAGGGTCTGGGCTCAGGGCTCTGAACCTCTGTGGCTGGCAGAAGGCAGACGATGGGCTTGAGGAATAGAGAGAGAGAGGAAAGGCCACCCTGGGATACAGGCCACCACCTCTCAGACAGTCGAGCTGGGTACCAGTCCTCAAAGTGGGGGCCGCTTTCCTGCCAAAAATAGAGGCCCCACAGTTGGGGTCTCGAGGTGAGCTGGATGCACAGGGCTGACCCATTCTCTTGGTTGCCCAGGATTCAGGCTCTGAACACATGGGTGGGGCTGCACCCTGGCTAGTTCACAGGGCAGTGGTCAGCCCACGGCTCAACGCATAGGGAAATCCAGAGTGGAGGGTGCCCAGGCCTGTCCCTAGAGACAGAGAACCTCCTTGGAGTCCAGCTCTGTTGTACTCGTCTCAGCCCATGAGGCACTGAGGTAGGGGTGGAATCCTGGGGTCTGGAGTCTGCCTATGACCACAGAGACCTGGAGGGATAGCCCAGTCTGCATCCCTGAGGGTGGAGCCAGGATGGGGGCGCTTTGCATCCTGAAACGGAGATTGCAGAAATAGCTCTCAGCTCGGCTGCTCCCTGCTGTGTGACCCAGACAAGCCTTCACCTCTGTAAGCCTCGGAGGCTTCCTATGTCAAACAGGGTCACAACGAGCTGGCTGCAAAGCCTCTGGCACCTAGCGGAGGACTAGGTCAGTATCCCCCCACCCTCCCAAACTGCTATTAGCCACTATCCACCCATCACTTGTGGCCTGCCAGACCCTGGGTCTACTCTATGTTCATTGCATTCCTGGGGCACAAGCGGAGCCTGCCTCAGCCTCGGGCCACTGCTTTTCTCTAAGATCAACCAACCCACCTCACCCTCCCCAGGCCAGGTCACGTCTGTTCCAGAAGCATACTGAGGTCTTTCTGCCTCAGACCCTTTGCAGACCTGTCTGGCCCGCGATTTCTCATCCTCAGATCTCAGCATAAAAGTCAGCCCCTCCCTGGAGACCTTCCCTGGTCACTCTCTCTCCACAGTCCTGGTTATTCCTCTCCTTGCACCTTGTCCCCCAGACAGGTCTGCTTCCTTGCTTCCCACGTCTCCCCCACGAGAGCAGTTGCCTCCTCCAGCATCCCAGGGCCTGGCAGAGCGTGCGGTTCAGGGGCGAATGTGCAGTGTGCTCTTTTCTGAGTTTTGTTCCCGCCAGCGGCTCTGGGCCTGAAAGAGCTCCTAAGCAGCCCTGCGGACTCGGGCAGCCCAGCCGTGGGCTGAGGCAGGGCGTCCTATGTGGCAGCTGATGCCCCAACCCTATCGAGACTCCATTTCTCTTCAGTGGGGCCTTTTCGGGTCTCCAAAGGAAGCCCCCAGAAGCAGCCTGCCTTCAAACACGGCCAGCTTCCACAGTGGGCTGCGGTCTCGGCCCAGCCTCGGCAGAAGCAAGGATCAGGTATAAATCATGCTCCGCGCTGGCAGCTCGGCTCCCCTCCTATCCTCGTGGCCCCTCATGTGGCCGGACGTGCGGGCCTGGGCGGTCCCCACGGCGCCTCTGGTCTTCCTCGCCTGCAGACCCCTGGGGCAGGCCTTGCACACAGCACTCTTGGCTGGGAGTGAGAGTTTTCTGCCTGTGTGTGGTTAGAGTTGTGACAGTGACTAAACCTCTAGCAACTTGGCCCAGTATCTGGCCCGGATGGTGGTTACGACACCCACAGCCAGGGAAAGGGTCCCTGAAGTGTGTGGAGGTTGCTGTCCTTGGGCGAGGCTGTAGTGTGGGCTTCCCCAAGGCCCGCACCCCGACTCTCGGGTTCCCCTTGCCTCAGCAGCCCTCAGGCCCCCCTGGAGCCCCTTTTTAGCCCAGTAAGAAGACATCAGGGGTCCCCCAGGCCTGCTCATACTGAGGACACCACACTGGGGATCACACTGCAGAGACTGGGTACTATATGCCCTGCCCTCCCTCCCACCTCCAGCACATACCAAATCTTACCCTGTCTTCCCCAAACACCTGAACCTGGAGCCCTCCTGGGCCCCCACCTCTCCTGGACCCTTGCCCAGTCCCCCCTGTTCATCCTTTCTGATGCCTCGTCTCCCACTTCACCTTGCCTAAGGCCTGGACACTCGGGCCACCTCTTCAGAACAAAGGAAAGACCAGGCCAGTCCCTGCCCTGAGGACAGAGGCCTGAGTTCCTCGGCCTGGCTTCCGTCTCCAGCCTCATCCCTCACCCACTCCTGGGTCAACAGCGCTGCGTGCTGGTGCTCCCCTGTGCCTTCTACCTGCTGTTCCCTCAGCTGGGACCACTCCTCCATGGCCCCTACCTTCCCAGATTTATTCCCGTGGGCCATGTGGGAATACTGAGGCTTCCTCCAGAAAGCCCTCCCTGACTGCCCCTTCCTGTGCTGCTACAGCACAGCACACTGGCACAGCAGTGCCCTGTGCCATGCCTGGCACACGTGTGGCCTGAGCAGGAACCGCATCTTCCCTCATGGTTCTCTTGTAGCCTGTGCTGTGACCTCATGGGCCCAGGATTCGGGGGTGCCTCCCACTCCACTCTTCTGTGCGCCCGGACCCCAGGGTGGCAGGGCAGCCTCTGGGTCTGTGCCCCATCTGTCTGAGGGATCGGAGTTCTGGTGTCTGGGCTCCAGGATGTGTCCAGAGCAGCCCAGGGTCACCAGCTGGCCTTCTGTGCCCACTTGGTCCCCCTCAGGCCACATCTTCCCCTGATGGGCTGGGAGCCCACTGGGCCTTCTGCCTGGGCCAGTTCCTCAGAGCCTCAGCAGCATCCATCACAGCCTTGGGGCCTCCTGCCCAAAGTGTGACAGCCTAGGGGCTCGGAGGCCCTGAGCCAAGCTGGGAAGGCAGCAGAGGGCCCCTGAGCTGCATCCTCACAGTCACTTCCAGACAGAGAGTTCACTTCATCCTAAAATAATGGCCCTCGAGGGATGATGTGTGTGCCAGGCCCTGGGGGTGCAGGAGGGAAAGCTCAGGGCAGGGGTCCCGGGGCAGGCCTTGTGGGCTACAGGGAGCTGCCTGGCAGGCTTAGCTGGCACAAGGCTGAAGGCCTCCAGCCCTTCCCACCTTGGACCTCTGTCTGCTGCCAGGACCTCTGGGGACCCACTCGCCCTGCACAAAGGCAGGGCAGTATGTGCCTGGGCTACAGGCGCCTAGACGCTGAGCTGAGTGTGGCTGCCTTGCTCAGTCTCCACATGGTCCCCCCACCCCCCGCCACACACACTCTGGCAGAGCGCCTCTGGGCAAGAACTGAGGCCAGGGAGGGCGGGAACTCACCCACCATCCTACAGCCAGCAGGGGGCTTCTTGGGCCAGAGGGGCGACACGGGGCCCAAAGACAGACCTCGCGGCCCTGGTTCCTGCCACAAAGGGCACCTGTGGTCTGGGTGGTGCACTGTCCCGGCACCTCTGTCTGCAAGACTCCCTTCGTTCCACGCCATCTCTAAGGAGAGGCCAAGGGGAGTCAAGACCCTGCCCTGCCCCTGCCCCAGGGAGGGAAGCAGAGCTGGCAAAGGCACCCCAACCACAGGCGACACGTGGGGAGCCATGTGGGCCAGCACAGCTCCCGGTGCCCTTCTCCTAGCTGGTCACCCGAGGCTCTAACAGAGCATCCTCTCCCGTTGTCTGGCCCACTCTGGGGAAAGCAGCACTTTCTACACTGAGAGCCCCAACTTCACAATGGCAGCCCTTCACCAAGTGGAGGGAACCCTGACACCAGGGGCAGAGCCAGGAGCAGGGGTCGGGAGTCAGAGTGGGTGAGGGGAAGGGCGGCTGCACACAACTGCACAGGCTGTGCACGGAATGACAGAGGGGTTGTTCACGCAGACCGAGACACAACCACTTCTACGGACCATGAGGAGGGGGGCCTCAGAGCCCGACTTGCAGTCTGTACCACCTTTGTAGGGGCCTAGAGGACCCGGGGTTCAGGGGGTGGAGTCTTGTAGCCCAAGGCCAGGGTGGCCAGAGTGGGTGGTGAGCAAGGAGAGAGAGAGAAACACAGTGGATGCTGGGAAGTGGGAGGTGAGGCTACAAGAGGCTTTGTGTACTTATGGCGGACCTCAGCGTCCATGGTGCCTAGAGGGACCGGGTCTGCAGAACAGCCCTGCGGTGGGCTGCAGCAGCTCAGGCACCACCTCCGCTGGGCTCACCCCAGCTCTCCCGTTGTACCTCTGCCCCTCAGGAGGGCCATGGGCCCATTGGCACACTTGGGTGCCTAAGACAAGGTGGTCTGCACAGGGTGGGATGCCTGCCCTGACACAGAAGCCATGAAGAGCTTCGATTCCGCCCAGCCAGAAACCAGCATATGGCTTCAGCGTCCAGGCCCCCTCCTGTGAGGCTGACATGGGTGGCATTCTCCCAGGTGCCTCAGCTGCCTGGCCTGCCCCTGCCCCTGCCCACCCTCGTGGGGCCCCTCTGAGTGAGCTCCGCTTTCCTTCCCTGGCCGAGTGACAGTGAGGGACGCTTCCCCTCTAACCCCAGGAATGGGCGCCAAGGCTTGCCTTACTCGGTCCCTGGGGCCGTACCCTAGGATCCGCGTGTGCTCTAGGCACTCATGTCCGCCTCTCCCCTGGGCATCTTGCTGGTTGCAGGACGCAATTGTGCAGTCTCAGTGGGTGTTTGTCTTGGCCCAAGAGCTGAACCCACAAACCAGGGGCATTTCCGCTAGGACAGGGCATGGAGCTGACCTGGCCACGGCCTCCTCACTAGTATGGGGAGGCGAACTGCCCCCATCTGAGAGCAGCTCTGTGGTCACAGCACCCCTGCTCTGCTGGGTCTGTACTGCCAGTGACCTCAATGGAGTCAGGCTTAGCCCTCGGAACTGTCAGCATGTCACCATCTCACAGTACCTGAGGTAAAGGTGGGGGATATTGTGGGGAACCCTGAGGGCCCGGTGAAAGCCTACCCTATGCCCCACAGTATGCTGGGTGAGGACTGCCCCAAGACTGGCATGGCCAGGCAGCCCCACAGGACTGAGGTGACCAGGTGAGTCCTGGGACAGAACAGCAGGCCTTTCTCAGTGCAATGCAGGACACTGGGGACTTACCTGTGAGCCTGGGAGAACTGGGATTGCTTTGTTGGCCAAATGAGATGGCCAGGACATCAGCTGGGGAGGGGCCACCCAGGTCCTGCCCAGGCCCCAGCAGGCTTTCCTATAGGGGGTTGGTCAGGGGGCAGGTAGGGTAGGCCAGGCCTTGGTTATCACCCTTGTCTCAGCACCAGGTGGGGGCTAAGCAGTACCAGGGGCTTGAAGCCTAGAGCTCTAGGTGAGCAAAGAACCCCAGGGAGACACTGTCTTTCCAAGGCCCTGCCTGCCCAGCAGCCTGCCAACTGCCCTCCCCAACAGCCACCATGCCCCAGCCCCACGCTGTGGGTCCCACCGTCTCGTGTGGAGGGTGGCTGCCAGCCCTCATACTTCTGTACTGTGGTCAGCGGCAGGAGCAGGTCCAAGCGGACCCACCCCCATGCACCTTGAGGGAACTGCGATAGGGTGTGGATGCATGGAGGTCCCAGGGTGGCCTCCAGCCCCCTCCCAGCCTTCACAGGCAGCAGAGCTTGGCTTCTTCCAGCCTGGGGCCTGGGCCTCTGGGACATCTAAATTCACGACTGCCTGTGCAAGGGTAAAGAGTCTCCTTAGGGAAAAATGATGTGGTTTGATCAACCCACCTGGCCACAGCCTGCCCTGGTGCAGCTGCAGAGGCACAGTGTGGGAGCGAGGAAAAGAGACCATGGCCCCCTCAGGGCTGTGGCCCGCACAGGGCCCTCCTGGGGGCCGATCAGCACGTTCCCCGGGCTCTTTCACTGCATCTAAAACACTTCTTTAAGTGACAGATGTTATTCAAAACTGAACAAAACCTTCCCATCCCAGGTGTACGCAAAGGGTGCAAAGAGTGGAGAAGACACACCCTTGGGGTGACTGCTTCTCACGGCAGGCTGGATTTTACAGGTAACGGGTGATGCATGCTGTGTTCTAAAGGTCACAGAGTGTGAAAAGGTCGCAGTGAGCACTCTCCCTTCTCGTCCGTCTGTCCATCTGTCCTGCACCTCCTCTGTGGACTTACAAGCACACGAGAATCTATGTTCTCACTATCTCCTTCTATAAGGGGGCCACTGGCTACCCCATCTCGCACTTTTGTCCTCACGCGACAATTCGTCCTAGAGTCATTCCCACATTAGTACGTGTAATTAGTACATGTTGCTACTTAGAGGAGGCTGCTGCTTTTTAAACAGACAATTAGCACAACGTGCTGTTTGCTTGCGCAACTGATAAACCAGGCCAGTCCCATCAACGTTGTCCCCCACAGGAGCTGACTTTGAGGTTTTCCTTCCTTGTCTTCCTTTTGGGGGCATATTCTGAGCTCCCTGTCCTGAGGCTCATCTGATCACTGAGCTCTGTTCCCGCTGGATGAGAGGGTGGGGGTGGGGCCTGGCATTCTCCTAGCATCCCCTCCTGGCTCCCCAGCCTCTGGCTGGACGGGGAACCGTCTGCAAAGGCCTGCTCACGGTGTGCCTTCTCTGAAAACGGCAGTTGCTGAGGACCCCTCAAAAGCAGCACTTGGCTGTAACTCACCCCAACAACTGGCCACCAGGTTCTGGGCCTGCAAGATGCTCCATCCTTGGGATTTTATACTTTTAAAGCTCAGAATCTTTTCTTCTCTAAAATAAAGTCTCCTCAGAGAGATGAAATCTGACTGCCTTAGTCCCTCTGAATTTAGTGTGAACTCAGAGTCCAGCCTTCAAGGCCTATCACAGCCAGGTCCCCAGATGGCCCTGAAGCCTCCGCTCACCATTCCCTGAATACTGGAGAGACACTAGTCCCCACCCCTAACACAGCTGCAGCTGCTGGCCCAGAATAAGAGGGCACCCCAAGTCCAACCAGATGCTGGTGTCCAGAGCTGGCCAAACCCTCCCTGCTGCGGACTCTGCTTCAGGACAGGGCGGGGGACATGCTCACATCCCAGCAGCCAGTGCAGGCAGGGGATGTGTAGGACGGGACATGGGGTTACCTTGGGCTGAGCTCCCTGATTCCCAGGTCTTTCCTAGGAGTGACCCTGGGGACATGACACCAACCAGAGTCTTACTGGCCTAGCACATGAGGCAGAGATGGATTCAGGTCAGAGTGTAGGCCCTGCTTCTCTGAGGCGCCCTGCCACCTCAGAGGATGGAGCTAGACATACGGCCACCTCGCATGCCCACAGGGCCCCGCCCTTGCCCTCACCTGGCTTCATGGTGCTCATGACAGCACGACAACTCCGCAGCACCGCCTCGTAGATGGCCTTTTGGTTTTCGGTGAACTTGCCATTGGCAGGATAGGAGCACGTGATGTCCGAAGAGTAGCAGTAATACTCACCACCCATGTCGAACAGGCTGTGGGGAGAGGAGGGCATGAGGCTGGCAGGATGCTTGGGGACACTCCTGCTCCAACGCTTTCGTCCCTCCCAGTGCTCAAGAGCTGAGCTCTGGACATGTCATGGTGCTGAGCCTGAGCCATCTTGCCACGTGACCAGTTGAGGCAGCAGTTTGGGGCCTCCTGCCTTGGTGTCTTCTCATGGTCCATGAGCAGCAAAGGAACCCTGTGCCATCCTGGGAGACCTCTGACCCTAGAGCAATGGAGGCTGGGGGGAGTAGGGCTGACCCTGCACACACGCCCCCACCCCCACAGCCTCCACTGGCCAGGCCAGCTTTGGGGACTCACTTGGAGAATGAAGGAGGGGCAGAGATGTCCCCAAGCCCCCATCCACCACCTGGCCTCCATGTGAGCATTCCAAGAGATCTTCCCAGAGCTGCCCCGCACCCAGCACAGGGCATGGCTACGGCCACGGGGCAATGTACATGGGAGCTGGACAGGGACCCTGGAAAGGACACACTGCCTGACAGAACATGGGCTGAGCTGCATCACCTGCCTCGCACAGGCCCCGGTGTCTGAATGAAAACCCAGCCAATGGCTCAGCTCCAGCTCGGGGGTCCCCTTGGCCAAAGGAAGGCACCCCTCTCCCTGGTGGGATGGGACAGACATGTTCTGCAGGGCCTGAGGGAGGCGCAGGGAGGATACTGCAGAGGGCAGTCCTCCCGTCCAGCGGGGCTTTCAGGGGTCTGGCCAGCTACACGCCCTGTCCCTGGGGGCTGCCCAGGGCCCCAGCACCCCAGGTGGCAGAGTGGGGACCAGCAGGCCCACATGGAGGGAGTGGAGAGTGGGAGGACACACAAGACCTGGAGCTGGGAGCCGTGAGCCAGCAGGGCAGGACTGCGCTGGGACACATGGGCAGGCCTGCTGAGTCAGGAGGACGAGCCCAGCTGAGCCTGCACCCTGGACATCCCGTGATAGGGCTCTGGTGCAGCAAAGCCGAGGGTGGGCCCAGTCCTGCTCCCACAGGACCTCTGGGCCTCAGGGCCCTCGCTGGTCAAGGCAGGTAAAATCCTGGCCCGCACACCCTCCACAGTAGGATGGGACAGGATACACGAAGGGCAGCTGGGTCCAGGCCTGGCTCCCAATGGGTCCCCAGGCTGCCAGGGGCTCCAGTGAGAAGAGTGAGGGTGCACAGGCTGGGCACCCCTCCCCATCCTGTCCCACCTGAGCACCTCGACAGGCACTGAGTGGGGATCCACCGGTCCCTTCAGCTCCTTCATGGGCTGAGGGACGCTGGTCTAGCCCCAGGCCTAGGATCCTACTGTGTCTTCAGGGCTAAGGGACCACAGAGCCCAGTGGAGCTGAGGCGGCCGGGGCTGCCCTCTTTGCCCTCTATGCCTGGCTGGACCCAAGCTCTCCTCGGTGCTTGGCTCTCGGCTTCCCATGGGGTCCATCTGAAGCCACACGCATCCCAGCAAATCTGAACCCAAGGGCAGAGCCTTGCCTTCCACTACAAGGGCCTCTCACCCAAACCCAAATTCTGATGGAAAACACAGCCACTCAACAAACATTCTAGAAGCTGCCTGTGCCTCTGGGGCCCCCTATCCCACACGACAGAGCAGGGGACTCCTGCCCTGTGAGAGGAGCCGGGAGTAGCCTGACAAGCAGCGCCAGCGATTCTACAGAAAGATTTTTAAAGGAAAAACTTGAATGCTCAGGATCCTCGGACGCTTTGATGGAATCCAAAGTCCCCAGCCAGGCACTTTTTAATCTCCTGCCTTTTCTCGATTGCAAAACACCATAAGCAGTGTAAACAGTGCAAAAAGCACCAGATAAGACCTCAGGTGATTCTCAGGGGGTGGGGGAAGAGCCCCCAGCAGCATGGCAGGGGAACTTTGAGTTGGGTCAAAGTCACAAACTTGGGGGGATCCTGCCTGGGGTAGGCCGACGGGAGGATTTGGGCCTCACTTGAGGTGACCCGCCCAAGCCCGGTGTGGCAGCTGGGACCGACCAGAGAGAGGCCCCAAACAGACACACCCAGGCATCTGTTCCCCAGAAGGCTGCAGATTTAACAGGCTGTTTGAGCCAGCAGCTGCCTGCAGGCTTATCCCTGCCCCAGGCACTCTCCCCTGGAGCTGGCTGGGAGGGCGGCCACACCTCAGCCCTGAACTGCAGGGAAACCGAGGCTCCCAACACTGGTCCAGCAAAGCCCTGAGTCAGGGAGTCAGCAGCTCGGGGGCCAGAGAGAAATGGGCTCTCCTGTTCTGGCTCTGGCACTTGGCCTCTGGGACCTGTTTTTCCACCTTTAAAATGGGGACAGCACCAGTGCCGCAGGCCTGTGTCCTCTCAGGGCCGGTGCGGGCAGGCGTGGGGGGTGGAGCCACGCAGGGCCACTAGCCAGTTTCACCCGGGAAGCATTTTCATTTGGGCTCCTCAGAGGCAACAGAGGAAAATGGTTTGTGGTTTGTTGATTCAGAACATACAGGAATGGCCTGAGCAGACAGGACAGAGCCAGGAGTGTAGGGGACACAGATCCCAGGGAGCCACCACGTCACAGAGCGACCTGCAGCAGTAGTCCCAGACAGAAAAATCTATTGGACTGTGTTAATCTCAGAGAAAAACAGAAATTGCATTATTTAAAAAACCAGGAAGCCCACAAGAGCATACCAAACGCTGGAGGCACCTAAAGCAGTGAAAACGAGACTCTTCCCCAGGCAGACAAGACTCTGGACCAAGTTCTCCAAACTTGCCTCAAAAAACCCAAAGTATGTGGGATGGTGGGAGCCTGGAGTTCCTCGGCCAGTCTGGCTTTATCGTTCAGATTCTAGAAGGCTTCAGCTGTGTTTTTTGTTTTAAAATCCTCCGCTTTCTGGAGAAGGAAGTGTACACCCCGCCAGCGACGCGCAGGCACGGGGCTCCGGGCTATTTTCGTGCTCTCAGTTCCCTATCTTTTTTTTTTTTTTTTTTTAAAAAAAAAGTCCCCCTCAGAGTTCCTACACACATAAGTAATTCAGATTCAAGCCATTCTGGTATCCAGGGATGAAAGCCATCTCTTTTATAAATCGCCTCCCTCCAACTCCTCTGTGTCCACTTCATCCGTCCTCTGAATGCAAACTGACAATGGAGAATTCAGTCACACTTTGGCTCAACCGAGAAGGCAGGATCCCTCCTCTCTGGCTGCCTGGGGACTTCACCAGGAACCCTACCATCTTTGGCCGCGTGAATATGTGTGATAATCTAAGACATCTGGGGAGATATTACACATCTCCGAGCAATATGCTGGCCTCTCGTTCCTCGCATGTGTTCATCTGCTTCTATTTCTGGCTGGGATGAGAGGTTCTGTCTTCCATTGGCTCCTCCCGGGCAGCTTCATGCCCGGGCTACCTGCCACCATTGGCTCACCCAGACCCTCCCGGGGCCCCTCAGCTCCCTCAGCCCCACTGCAGGGACCAGCCAGCCCACAGGAAAAAGGCCTACAAGATGGTGTGGTCAGTGATGTGGCTCGGGAACAGTTTGGGGGAAATGCTGCAGTGCTAACACGAGGGCCACTCTGCACTTGGTCTGAAGCTTCGTTTTAACCCCTCGAGCCATGGCAGAACACTCAGCCGCCTTGTACCCAGGACTGACGTTTGATGTACACGTGCGTGCGTGCACACAGACCTATTCAAGACAGCAGCATCTCAGACCCCAGCTTGCAGCTGCCCAGTCTGCGTGCCCAGCCAGGGGATTTCTGAGCAGCAGGAAACTCTTGCTTCCCTTCAGACCCTAGCGTGACACAAAAAGGAAAGCGTACCGGTCACTTCTCGTTCACGTGCTGCCGTGGGCAGCCCTGCAGATGAGGCCCATGAACCCACGCCCAGCCAGACCCTCCATGGAGTGTCAAGGTCCAGGTGTGACCAGCGGGGCAAACGCCATCACTGGGAATCCTGGAGGCTCCCTCAGTGCCCCGGGCTGACCCACCAAGTGGACCTCTTCTCAGTGCCTTCTGGGCATCCCTGGTCCCCAACCTAGCCACAGGACAGCTGCCTCCGTGGGGCCGGACAGACAGCAAAGTCACTCAAGCACCAGTCCCCACGGCCAGAAATCCCCAGCACACACAGTGACGAGAGCAGGCATGTGCTGGTGGCCTTGTGTGTCTGGAAAGTACTGTTACTGTCGTACAGGTGATATGGGGAGAAACGGCACCAGTGTGGGGCCAGGTCCCCAGGAAGGACACTACGCAGCACGTGGCTTGGTGTGTGGGTGGGACCCAGCGGCCGCCCACCCCAAGGGCTTGCTGCCACCACGACTCAGGGGGCCGAGGGCCGGCTAGCAGGGCAGCAGCCTCTGCAGGGGAAGGAGTGAGTCGGTGTCACGCGCGCAGCACACGCTGCATTTCACTTTTCTTGGTAAGCAGTGTCCCGTGATGTCTGCGAGCACCCAGCCTGTCTGGGTCGGTGCTTTTCAAACTGTGGGTTGTAAAGTAACTGAGTGGGGTGTGGGTAAGACACATAAACAAACGGGTGGATAGAAAACACATGGTCAGGGTGTCTGGTTAAATGTAGGTACATGTGCATGCACGAACGTAAATGGTGCTTCTCGCTGGACAGAACTTTGAAGGCCACCACCACTGGGCTGGACAGATGGCTGACCAGGGCCTGTGCCCTCTTGAGAATGTTCTTCTTGTTCTGAGGACTGGGCATGTCCTTAAGACCATGAAATCCTCAGGATGGGGCTGGCTGGTGACAATCAGGTATTCTTCTGCGGCAGCCGCAGGTGGAAGGGCCTGGGCTAGGCTTGCCTGGCGTCAGGGCGTAGGCCCTGTGGATAACACTTGTACTCTAAAGCCCACTGAGGCACCTGGCACCAGGAAAAGTGGGACTTGGAGGCTCCCCGACCCCAGCCCCGTGCCAGCTGGGGAGGAGCCCCCAGCCAGGCTTGAGGGCTGCAATGTGCAGACGCCAGAAAGACATCAGACCAACCAAGCAGCCACCGGGAGCGAGTGGAATTGTCTCATCATAGCCTGTGGTACCCAAGAGATGCCCTGGGTGAAGAGTGAGCATGCCGCAGCCCACAGGGGGTAGTATATCTGTGACTGAGATACAGGCTGCTCCCCATAATGGTGAAAGCTGGGGGTGGGGGGGGACCTTCCTAAGCAGTCTGAACGAATGTCTCGTCCACACAGAACCTGCAGAATTAACAGGAAACTGACGGGAGAAGGGGTAGGAAGGAGCCAGCTGGCAATGCTCCTGTGGGCAGGAAACGAGTGGCCAGGTGGGGAAAGAGCTGGCCTTGGCCATGACCCCTCTTGGGGCTGTCTCCTCATCTACAAGAGGGAGGACAGGGCACCTCAAGGGCAGCTGTGTAGAGTCTCCGAGGCCACTTCAGCTAGAGGATGTGGCATGGGCAGCGGGAGCAGCAGCACACACCACTTACACGCCAACAGCAGTTCAGGTGTCTTCAAGGGCTTCCCAGGGAGGAAACTGCTAGCCCAGATCTGTCTGGGGCTTTGGTGAATAGGAGCTGTGTCCCCACCTTCACTGGTCAGCCAGACAAGGCATACGGGAGCTGGGGCTTCAGGCTGATGATTACCAGGGCGAGGAGACAGATGGGGTGCTAGTCCCATGACAGGGATGGAGAGGGGAAGATGATAACTAGCTGGCTGCTGAGCATAGGGCTGAGACAGGCCTCTGCCTCTAACTAGGAGAGCCGTGCCCCTCCATGCCCCAGGACACAGAAGACCACAGCCGGCAGGGAGCAGGCCTGGCCCCTGTGTCCTGAGACAATGCTGCCCTCTCCTGGCCAGTGCTGGGAGGTCTGGCTCGCCACCCACATCCCACCTGTGGCTGTTTAACCAAGGCCTGGGCATCCTTAGACTGGTGCTCTAAGGTTCTGAGAAGGGCCACAGGACATCCTTTCCCAGGAGCCACTCTCTCTGCCACATGATCAGATGGTGGGAGAGGGAGGAAGGGAGAGGGGGGATTCCCAGCTGCTTCCCAAATCAGAGCCTTCTGGAAGCACACCTTGGACTCCTTCCCATCTCTTCCCCATGCGGTGAGCCTGCTGACGAGCCCAGGAGGGGTAGGGGGTGCTAAGGCCGGCCTCAGACCTGGGAGTCCAGCACAAGAGTGGGCCTAACTCTGAATGTGCTGTTTTTCGGTGGATTTAAAATGGACAAGGGCGCCCCCTGATGGCTCATGGGCAGCACGCTAGTCCTGGGCACCTCTATCCACCATGGGGTCTTATTTCTGAAGCCCGGGCTGGTTCTGGGGGCACTGGGCAAGTGCAGGGGGTGATAAGAAGATGGCGTGGTGTGAGGAGCGGTCCTTGAAATGCTCTTCTCAGCTCTTGGGTGACAAGTCTGGCATGGAATAAGAACTTACAGGCCCCAATTTACAGGACCTGACTGTAACAGGGACCATGGCCCAGCTCCAGGAAAGCTCCTGGTATTGGAAGGACAGAGGCATGGGGGGTGGGCCTGGCCGGCCTCATACTCCACCTGGGGCACACCTAGTGAAAATAGTAGGCCTGGTGGCTCTCACCTCCAGCCTATCTTGGAACTAGCTGCTGGAAGGTAGGCTTCAGGGGCCTGGAGCACAGGTAGAAGCCCCCGCCTGGCTCTGGCGGGTGGCCGCTGCATGCAGCTCTCACCTGCCGAGGGTCAGGCTGTGCCAGGCTCCATGCTCAGCACTTTGCACTTATCACTGAATCCTCCCAGAGCCAGGTGTTATATTACCCCAATGACTGATGGAGAAACTGAGGCCCAGAGGGATGGCCACTCAGCTGGGGAGGACAGGAACTTGAACTGGGGACCCTCTGTGCTCATCATCACACAGCCCCACCTCTCTTAGGATCCCTGTGTGTGTGTGTGTGGGGCGGGGCATCCGGGACTGTAGGGAGAGGGAAAGAAAGGGCCGGCTGCGCTCAGCATCTACTCCCCACCTTCTCCAGTAGAGTCTGACTCCTGGGAACCAGCTCCGGTCCCCAAATAGTCCCATGACTAATGTTAAAATATCCGTGGGGCATTTTCACCGGACATCAAGGGACTGAGACACAGAGTGTGCCACCCCGACAGGGGCCTGGATTACTGTCAGCGCTCTGGGAGACTCAGCTTCAGGAATCATTTTGCATTATGCTCATATTTTGGTTTCATACCTTATGATGAAGTGTTGTGGCTTTTATGTTGGGATAACAGAGTGATTTATTATTTACCGAACGCACTGGGTGCTCAAAGATCAATTTCAATAAAACAATGGCTTATAAATGCCGCCAGCAATCTGGCAGTAGCAGTAATCAACAAAACATGTTGTTCTAAATGCTGCATAATAAATTGACTATAATAAACTCATAATTATTCTACTGGCTACATTTCAAAGTTGGCACTAGAAAAATAAAATTTGGGCTTGGCATTAACATCCATGGAATTCCTTGGCTCTCTTCCGTCACCAAAGCTATGACTGGGAGACACAGGTGCCATGTGCTGCCCAGGAAGGCTGAAGACACAGCACCTGGGCCAAATGCGGGCCTGAAGTCTGCTGTGCCCTGGTCAGCCAGGCCCACCTTGTCAGGGGCTACTCCGGGAACAGAGCTGGCACTGGCCTTTCACGGGATGAGAACACTCTTTAGGGCAGATGAGGAGGAAAGTGGAGTAGCAGTTGCGTCCTCTGGAGTGTGCCAAGCTCACAGCGCAGAAACACTAGTGGCCACATGGTCCCGGTGCAGGGCCTTCCAGCTCTTCAGAGGGGCCCCCAGACAGCTGGGACCACAGGTGTGGCTGGGACCCTGCCTCAGCCTGGGCACTGGGTTCCCACATTCTGTTCTCCCAGCCAGAACAGGCCACAGAGTCAAGGAGCATTAGCAAAGGTTACAGGAGCTGAGAGTCCCTGAAGAGGCCAGGCAGTCTCTCCTTGGGGCCACTAGTGCTCAGCCCACTTCATGGGAGCAGCGTGAGAAAATCTACATGAACAGATGTCCCTGATGCCAGGCCCAGGGGAGAGGTCTGTCGAGGTTGCTGCACGCCCTTGGCCCTGAAGCCAGGAAGGCTGTTAAGATACTTTGAGAGGGTCTCAGGGAGCAGGAGCGCTCCTGGCTGCCTCTAGGCCACTCTGGGCTTCCCCCTGTGTGTGCTCCCAGCCCAGGCCCCTGGGGAGAAGGTACATCAGCTCAGCACTTGTGTCCGTGACATGTCCCTTCGGCACCCCATGCAGTCCTGAGAGGCGCGTGCTACCTCCATTTGCAGATGAGTAAACTGAGGCTCAGAGAGGGAACTAAATGGCTTTGTTTCTTCTCAGAGGGCTGAGCTGGGTTCCTACCAACGTGGCCTGATCCAGAACCATGTCTAGCTGCTGACTCTGGGTGAGTGGAGAGACGGTGGCCAGTCACGGTGCCTGGCACACTCTGTGGTAGGGGGACTTTGGGACTGGGTGGGTTCCTGCAAACACTTGGCAGTGACAACTCAGAGCACATCCCTCAGCTCACATTCCCCCAGTGAACACGGGCCAGGGAACCCCAGGTGCAGGCATCACGGGACTCCAGTTCAGGGACCGAACCTAGCAGGGCATACGAGAGACCTGAGAGGAAGCATGACACTGCCTAGAAGATGCCTGGGGAGCCGTGCGCAGGTGCCTCAGCAATAGGAGGTAGAGGCACCGAAGAACCAGGTGGGAGAGTGAGCACGCCCTCCCCATCCCTCCCCTACAGGCTGATGACCACAGCAAGAAGGCCGAGACAGGGCAGCCCTGTGGGGCTTGTGGCCCCTGCATAGCTCTTAGCAGCCAGGACCAGCCCTGCCTGACGTCTGGGTGATGGGGAGGACAGGGGGTACTGTCTGGTCTGCATCAGTGAGGCACCCACAGACCCCTCCCAAGGCCCAGTGAGGTGGGGCCTGTGCCTAGCACAAGCCCTACACACTAGGGGTCCGTGAGCAGGATCCCGAGATGCCATCAACGGAGAGGCCATCGGAGGGTGAGAGCAGCGGGTCCTGCCCACATCTGCTCAGTTGTGAGGAGCTGTGAGCACATGAAACTGTGCTCAGAAAAGCCCTGCAAACAGCCTGGGGTGAAGCACCACCTCTGACCTCCCTAACTAATGGCCTCTTACACCAAGGGGTCCTGTGGCCGAGGCGGGCAGGTTTCAGAAGGGGAAAGGCTCCCTACAGGTCTTCTCTGCACTAGACTGAGGTGCCCACCCTCCCGGCCCCGGGACAGAAGTGTGAGTGTAGTGAGTGCTAAATGCAGAGGACAGAGGGCAGGAGTTGGGGTATAGTTCAGGCCCTCTTGAGAGAGCCCACTGTCCCACAGTTCTGTAGGCCCCCGCCCCCTCTCATCAGTGCGTCCCTGCCCCAGGAGACGAGGCACACGCAGGCCAGCGCCTGTGGCAGAGGAGTCGGGCCCAGGGCAGGAACGGGGGCCTCGCTGTGGTCAGCCTTCTCAGGGTGGGGCCAAAGGACCCCGCTTAGTCACCCTGAAGGCCGCCGAGTCCCACCACGGCCCCACGGTTCGCACGCAGAGCTGGGGCAGGGGCAGCTCGGGGCTGGCCTCACTCACCACATGTCTCCGTCCTGGATGGTCCGGTCGTTGGGGGCCCCGGCGTGTCCGTAGTGCAGCACAGCCGCGTTCTCACCGCTGCCGAGCGCAAGGGGCGGTCAACAGCTCATCCTCACCCACAGGCCCCAGGGGCTGGCGCCCCATCCCCGCCCCGTGGGCAGTACTGTCCTCTTTGCAGCAGAGGCCCAGGAGTGGCCAGACCAGGCCCACAGCCTGAGGTGGGGCAGGGGTCCTGGTGGCCTTGGCAACCGCAGTCACACACTGGCGAGCAGCCTCTCGGAGCAAGGGGGCCCTGCCTATAGGGCTTCCCCGGCTGATGCTACTCAGGCAGGTGCCCTCAGGGCTGGGGTTGTGAGCCTGATGTGGGCAGCATGTGCGAAGAGCAGAGTGGGGAGCAAGGGTCTGAGGCCTGGGGAAGGGAGTCTGGGGAGACCTTTCCTGGTGGCTGAAGGGAGAGAGGAGGCCCATTGGGAATGGCTGGGCTAGGCCAGGGGCTGCCAGGAGTCCTGGGCCACAGACAGGGGCACCAGCGGCTCCTCGCTCCCCTGCTCTATAGAGCTTCCCTGATGAGCGATGCCTTTAAGAAAAAAAAGACTTTTAAGTCTGTCTAAAGGAAAAAAAAACCCGCCTGGGTGTAATATTTATGGCCCCGTTCGGGAGTCTCAGGAATCATAAAAGTAGAAATAATGATTTTTCTCTCTATCCACCAGAGAAGAACATTTCCAAGGACTGAGATGTTCACATGTATTATTCATGTGCTGAGGACGTGCACATCCGCAGAGCTGCCGGCTCTGTCCTGGCTGAGCTGCGGCCAGACCGTCTGCCCCGAGGGACCCAGCGTGGGGAGACGAGATGGGTGAGCCCAGGGAACGAGGGGACCACCCATGGCCAGGATGTGCCCCTCAAAGATATACCTATAACAACACACAGCCACACAGACACCCACATAGCTGTGCACACCCCTAAAGACCACGGAAATATATGCTCACAACCATGAGCCGTCCCTATATTCATGGTCATTTCTACTCTGTGCCCCCAAGTACACCCTGCCACAATCAGGTGACACGCACACAGACCCGCCCTGCCCCTAGCCACAACGTGCCACATGCAGGCATGCCCGTAGTGACACCTCCCACCATGGAGCCCCAGGCCCATCCACAACTTTGATGTTCCCTGCAAAGCCACATGGACTGCTACACACACAGACACACACACAGACACACGACCATAGCTCCTTCCATCCCCGCTGTACACAGAAGCTGTCACAGCCCAGTCCCCACAAGCTCAGTGTGTGCCTGAGTGGAAGGAGTGAGGAAAGCCAGTGGCCCCCCTGGAGGAGCAGCCCCTGGAGACGGGAGAGGAGGTCATGGCAGGGGGCGGCCGGGCTCCCGCCTTCACACAGCACTGGCCGGACCAGGCAGAGGCGATCTCAGCTCCCAGGGCCTTGGTGGGCACGGGTGTGGGCATGCGAGCAAGCAAGTGCATCTAGCTGGGGAGTGGTGGGGCTCCCTCGCCTTCCCCCCAAGCTCCCCTGCAGTCATCGTCACTCTCACGGTCCAGGAGGCCCACTCACCTGCTGCAGATGCAGGTGTAGGAGCTGTGGCGCATGCCGCCCTGGGAGTAGCAGTAGTGCTCAAAGAGGCTGCAGAGAAGGAGAGATGTGTCAGGGTGACCGAGTCACTGGAGCCTACAAGCTCCCCGCCCCCCACAAGTCCTGAGCACAGGTCTATGAGGCTTGTAGCTGGAGCCCAGGGTCAGCCACAGGCCACAGAAGCACAGAAGTCAGTGTGGAGGAAGCAAGGCCAGAGGAGGGTGTCACCTGCCAACACCGTGGCACTGCCCAGCCTCCCCGGCCCATCGGACTACTGTAGGGCCACAGTTTCTGCAGGGCTGTAAGTGGTATGACCACTGTGACTCCCATGTCCAGTGGTCATACTCCAACCACGGAGGTGGACAGAGGCAGAGTCTGGGAGGTAGGCCCTGCTTCTCTCTATTTGAGACAAGCAGCAAAACGGTTGCCCCCACCCCTGGACACGCCCCTGCCAGCCACACCTATGCTACATCAGCTGTTCCAAACCCTAGGGAGGCCACGATGCCAAGAACTCTGGAGAGGCTAGGAGCCCACCCCTACACCACCAGATGCCCCAGGACAGGGGCTGGGGCTTGTCTCTTTTTGTGTAGGACTCTGAGCTCCAAGGGCGCAGCCTCTGCAGAACCCAGCTGGGGACGGGGGGCTGCCCTCAACCCCTCTTGAGGCCTGGACAGTAGCTCAGGCCCAGCCTTCCAGGTGGCCCTGGCTGAGAAGCAGATCCAGGTGACCCTGCCCCTGCTTCCATTACGAGGGTAGGGGGACCAATCACAGAGCTGTGCCACTGACCCCATCTTCAGAACAGCAAGGCCATCCCTGAGCATATTAAGTGGTGATTCTGTGCTTCACATTTTAGGCCTGTTTTAGAGAATGTCTGTACAGGAAAGTCTAGTCTTTCAGGCATTGTAAACACGAATTATGTATAATTGTTACGGTGGGTATGAAGTAGTTGCTATGCAGGAGGGGTTCTGCTGTACTCACTTGGCTTTCAGACTTGCCTTACAAACCTCACAGGCTAATTGGGTATCTGTGAGTGAAACATTTCCTCAACAGAAGGATTTCAGAAACTGCCAGGGAGGGGAAGAGAGGAGAGCCACATGTTCCCATCACAGCGGGAGCACTCAGGCGGCTGCCATCTACTTCCGCCTCGGTCCCAGAGGCCACGGGGACGGCGAGACCACAGCCCAGCACGTTCCTCCACAGAGAAGCCTTCCGACGACGAGCCTGTGAGGTCGTCTGGCTTGACGGGCTCCACATGGCGAGCCCACGTTGGGTGGAAGACGCCACGCACACTGTGGAGCTGTGGTGTCCCCTTAGCTTTGAGACAGACAGAAGCAGGCCTCAGAGGCCCGCAAGGCCATTCTCAAGGTGATGGGGGCGGTGGGCCCCTGGTGGGGCAGGGGTTGTCTGTACTTGAAGATGAACAGACAAGCGCATCCTCCAGTAGCCGGAAGAAACAGGGTGGGGTCGGCTCCCTCCCGCAGCCAGTCTCGGCAGCAGGCGTTTCTCTGCTCAGTTTCTACAGCCTTCATCACTTCAGCACCTAATTTTGTTTTCGAATTAAGTTTTCTGACATGACATGAGGACAAACTGGTGCTCTGGTGGCAATAATAGGAGGACGCAACAGGCCCACGTCTCCTGCTCACGTTCCTCTGAGGACTCTCCCTCTGGGGCCCCGGGCTGGCTGTGGACACACACAGTTCTGGGAAAGTGCAGAGGCTCGGGGGGCCAGTGGAGAGACAGGGGTCTGACAGATTTGTGATTTTCAAAGGGCAAGGGGTGAGGAGTGGATGATCCAGACTGGAGTCACGTGCTTGTCATGAGGCTCCTGGACAGCTCAGTCTGAGCTCGGCCAGCACAGGTCCCAAGGACAGACCGCAGTAGCAGAGCTACCTGGTTCCCACCAGACAACTCGTAGACCCCGGCAACAACAGAAGGACACTTAATAAAGACGCCTCTAGACCTTTACAGAAAATATGACAAACTGAGCCAGGTGAGGGTCCACCAGATGGGCCTAACTGACTGATACAAGTCAATGGCCAAATTTGGCCACAATGACACAATGGTAGAGCACGCAGCCGAAAGCCCTCCCACCTCCGACACTGAGGTGCTGCGCGCTAAGTCGAGGTCATAGAACAGGAGGAAAGCGAGGCCTGAAAGGAAGAGGGACCTGGCACGCTTGGGATCCCGAAGGCCGTGGCTTTCACTGCCACGTGAGGACAGTGACAAGGCCTCGGGCACACGAGATGCCGGGGACTAGAACTGAGACCCCATTGCCACATAAATCTGGGGCCTGGGCAGGGATGCACCCTCAGCAAAGGGCCGATTTCGGAGAAAATTCAAGAGCATCAAAGGAGGCAATAGAGAAGCTTGCCTGGGCTCTAGGAAAAAATAAAAACATTCCCTTAGATTTCACAGCACGGTCTGCCCTCCAGGGGGTTCAGGTTCAAACTTGGTCCCTGACTGGTGACACCTGGAGCAAATAGCAAGAGCAGACACAAAGCCAAACTGGGCAGCTGTACCCTCAACCCAGGTGAGCCAGAATCTGCATGTGTGCACACATATGTGTCCACATGTGCACACAATGGACATATACACATGCACACACTCATGCATATATGTACACAATACACATACGCGTGTATGCACATGTGTGTACACACGTATACACACCCACACACACTGAAGATGAACTCACAATCGGAACTCACAAGAGTTGTCAGACACCGCAAGCAGCAGGCTGAGACCCTCAAGAACTTCAAATAACAGAATCCTCAGCTAGCGACCATACACACATGGAAAATAACGCCTAAAAGTACAGCATGAAAACAGAACAGACAGATTTTATGGAGAACCAAAACAAAACTTCCAGAAATAATCAATCTATCCATCAGAGGCCGCAGCGCTGGTGACCCCAGCAGCCCCCTCTGCTTGCTCTTTGTCAGTCTGTCATGTGCAGCACAAATGTCATGCTGGGCCTGACTGCCCCTGCTCCCTCCTGCTCACCTGGACAAAGGATGGGGTGGAGAGCACCCCGACGAGGGAATGGCCCTCACTCCCTGCCCTGGCAGCAGAAGGGAAGGTTAAGGGTCTGCCCATAATGCTGCCACCAGCCTCACAGACACCCTGCTGCTTTGTGGTCCCTGCAGCTTTCTTCCACATGGCTGTTCCTCTAACATCCTTGCCTATAAATTTCTCGCAAGCAAGATGGGTAGGAAATGCTTTGTATGCAGGCATAAATGAGAACCTTTAAGTAACCTGGGAGAGTCATGTACGTGAACACGAGGTGAAGGTAGTTACTGCTGCGACAGAGAGGCAGGCCCATTTGTCAGAGCCTGGAGATGACTAACGGGGCAGGGACAGAGTCCGAGGACCAGATCAGC